GTGGCCTCCAGAAACCGTTTGATCTTGAATGTAAGTTCAAATTGGGTGCCGCCTTTTCGACTTGGGGTCATAGGTCTGTCATCATGGAATTTAGGCCCGAGTTTTCCCTCTTGGCTTCGTTTCCAGAAGGACTTTGTCTATTTGGACATTTCTCTTGGAGGGATTTCTGACACAATACCAAACTGGTTTTGGAATCTGTCTACTCAGTTCTTTAATCTGAACATGTCTCACAATCATATTCAGGGGAAAGTTCCAGAAGTTTTTGATATTTCTCCTCCTCTGGTTGGCTACCCTGTATCCATTGATCTAAGCTCCAATCTCTTCGAAGGTTCGTTACCCTGTTTGTCCTCAAATGTTGAAACTCTAGAGCTGTCCAACAATTCATTTAGCGGTATGATTTCCCGCTTCCTGTGTTACAAAATGGACGAACCGAAGATCCTGGAAAATCTTCATCTTGCTGATAATCATCTCACAGGGAAAATCCCTGATTGTTGGATGAATTGGCCCTACTTGCTTTCCATTGACTTGAAAAACAATGACCTGACCGGAAACCTTCCGAGCTCAATTGGGACTTTAACTCATCTTCGATCCCTTCATCTTCGCCGTAACAACCTTTCTGGAGTTCTACCGGATTCAATGCAGAACTGTACAGCACTCCTAGCTCTGGACCTCAGTGGGAATTCTTTCACCGGAGACATTCCTTCTTGGATTGGTGAAACCCTGTCCAATATCATAATCACCAGCCTTGGTTCTAACAATTTCCGAGGTCAGATTCCTGAAACACTTTGTTCACTTTCTTACCTTACAATTCTAGACCTTGGACACAACAGTGTGTCCGGGGATATACCCAAATGTTTCATGAATTTCAGTGCAATGTCCATAAAACGGAACTCGAGCGTCCCAATTTCTTATTCTTTCGGACACTTCGGCCAATCCTTGGAAACAACATTGTTAATGATCAAGGGAATTCTGCTTGAATACAGCACCACGCTGCGTCTTGTTACAAGCATAGACCTCTCTGACAACAATTTATCTGGCATAATCCCTGAGGAAATCACTAGTCTTGTGGGGTTGTTTTCCTTGAATTTGTCAACGAATCACTTGACCGGACATATTCCAGGGACAATAGGCCAAATGGGATCATTGGAATCTCTTGATCTCTCTTACAACCAGCTTTCCGGACAAATTCCTCTGAGCATGTCTTACTTGACATTCTTGAGTGTCTTGGACTTGGCTTACAACAATTTGACAGGGAAAATTCCGTCAAGCACTCAGCTTCAGAGCTTTAGCGCGTCAAACTTTGCAGGGAACAGTCTTTGTGGGCCTCCGGTGACGGCCAACTGCAGCACGAATGGTCCAACTGCCGGTGGTGGGGATGATGGGAGAGATGATGATGGAGGGAAAGTGGATTGGCTGTGGTTTTTTGTGAGTATGGCTCTGGGATTTGTTGTGGGATTTTGGGGGTTTATGGGTCCTCTGTTCTTTGTTAAGTCCTGGAGATGGGCTTATTATGGTGTGCTAGACGACCTTTGGTATAGGATATATTACTCCCGTTTATGCTAATAATTGAGGTATTATAATCCAAGAAATTGCCTATGTTGAAGTATGTGGAAATGTAAGAACTTTTGTTTGAAAAAATGAAATTTAGTTGCTCTGGAATTTTTTTGCATTTGAGGAAAAAAAAAAAAAAATCTGTTGCAATTTGCGTACATTTTTCTTGTTTGTATTATAGAAATGGTGAACAAGAGAGGTCCATTCACCCTTAAATTGTGCAAGCACCCAGAAATGGTGAAAAAGAAAATTTATTCATATTTTAATTTAAATTGTTGCTAATAAAAAAATTTATTCATTCAAGCCTAAAAATTGAAGGCCATTATTATATTTTTCACAACATACATAAAATTAGTTTTGATCTACACAGTTTTTTTTTTTTTTTTTGGTTAGAGTCTATAAACTTTTTTTTTATACAAGTTTATAAACCCTCAAAAACTCAAGTGTTTACAATTATATATCAATTACATCTATAAGTTAGAAGCACCTATAAACTAGCAGAAAACATACAAATTTCCACAATAAATTAAACACACGTGCTTAAATTCCTTTACTTTAATGGCATATTTGATTTGAGGGAAATGGAAGAGTAGACAATAACTTTTCATTTTTCATTCCTTGTGTATAGATGTACTAAAATGCCAAAAAAAAAAAAAAAAATAATAATAATACTAAAGTAAAGAAATTAATTTTCTCTTTTCTCTTAAACTAAACAAACTTTAAAAAAAGTGATAATAAAATACATATTGTAATACAATACAACCAGGAAAAGATTTACAAAATATTAAAAGTAAAATCTCTCCACACAAAATAACCATCTATAATTTTTTTTTTTAATTTGAAATATAATCCAAATTTTAAAGAAAGATGGGAGATGAAAAATGATCGAAGAACAAACTTAACACTCACAACATTAAACAATCTCTACACAAATCGGATATTCATATTAATTAAAGCCCTATTTATTCCCAAATCTCTCATATTTAGTTTACCAACTCTGAAATCCAATCAACATGCGATAAATCCGAGCTCGAAATCTCCATCCCACCCCCACTAACAACCTTCTTCTCACCACCATCCTTCTCCTCCTCCTCCTTTATCTTCAACTTCCTCAAACTCTTCAAGAATTCCGAAACCCCGCCAAAGTAGCTGTTACTCTGCATAACTGAGTAAGATGGCGCCTCCTCCCCATGCTGCACCGCCGTGGCCACTTCTCCTCCACCGTGGAGATCCCCACCGTCCACCATCCGTTCCTTACACTCAAAATGAGGACATCTGCATTTGGTCTCCGACCGGAACTGCTCTGGCGTGTGGGCGAAGAAACAAACCCTACGTTGGCAAAACACCCCGGCATTGCATGCACGTGTGCGGTACCTTGAGGGATGCAGCCAGTACTCGAAAACACCGTGCGCGAGCTCGCACGTGTCACCTTTTGGGCACTTTCCGTTTCGAAACGCCGGGCAGACAATGGCGGAGTATGGCACCTTGAGTGGGTCCCGCCGCTGAGCCTTCTCGCCACGGTGCGCATAGGGGCACTCCGTCCAGTCGTGGCTCCACGTCCTTGGGCACCGTTTGATCTTGTAAGCGTACATTCGGAACTCATCTGATCTGTAGATTGCTTCGTTAATAGCATCATTGTAATTAACGGTACCGGACAATTGATACTCGGAAAAATCATAAAAACTGGGATTAATCACATTTTTCAACATTTTGAATAATTTCAAACAGATTTCAAAGGTAAAATTTCAGATTTTTCCAAACTGTATTCAGATACAAGAATTGCAATAGGGGTTTTGACAATCTACCCTTCTCACCAATATAAGATTTGGAGCTTGCAAAATTCAATTTACAAAAGGAGAATTAAAATGGTACAAAAATAGAGAACCGAAATTTGGTGAAACTAGAAAACTATTTAATGAAACATTGGTCTGTTCATGATACTTGTAACTGAGGAAAGAAGAAAATATAGGCATGGATAGAAAAAAAGGAGGAAACGCATTGTTTAGATTTTTGGGGAAATGGAAAGGCTGAGATTATGGGGTGAAGGAATGATCTAAAGGTTGGGGAAGAACGTGCATTTATAAGGAAAATGGAGTTGAGTTAAGAGGTTGCTAACCATCATGAGTTACATTTGAACCCTATATCGATCGGACTCTTCAGCTAACGGTAACGGACGTGGTCTGGGATGGGCGGAAGTGGGCTTCTTTTAGGACACTGGTTTGTGGAGGAGAGACACATGTTAGCTCCTGAAATGGAGTGGGGAAATATGTGTCATTTTGCAGTTGGGCATTTTCAAAGGGATGACCCATACCATAATTATCCAACCCAACGTGACTCACCCAATATATCCATCTAAAATCAGACGGATGGCATTGAGAATGACAGGATTTTACCTGTGGTAATGGAGAGAAAGTGAGAAAGGGATGTGAAGGGCCAGAGTCAAAATGGTGATTGAGAGCTTGGTCGCTGAATGAACTAACTACATTGGCGGCGGGGCTGAGTGTCTGTGTTAGAAGCTTGGAAATTTGAAACTGCGTTTTCCTTCTGGGAGAGATGGAAATCCTTTCCATTTTGAAAAAAGAAAAGAAAAGAAAAGAAAAGAAAAGAAAAGATAATAAAAACAAACGAAAATTGGAGATGCGGGGGATCGAACCCCGTGCCTCTCGCATGCAAAGCGAGCGCTCTACCATTTGAGCTACATCCCCGTTTTGGTCTATTATGTAGAATCTTCCATTAAAATTGTAATATTCACTATTTCAGAAAATGAGAACCATGTACATGTACGCACCGAAGGGACATCATGGATCAGAAACAGAGATCCCCTATTCGTCTTTTAGCAACCCTTAATCTTTCTTCGATGATCGGTGACAAGCATAATTCCTATGGAAGAAGATTAGTAGTCTACGTCCAGGGCAAGCACGCAGCTGGGAAATGCAGAATCTTCGCGAAGCAGCCGAACATCATAGTTTGAAATTAACCCATATTTTCTATCAGATTCTGTAACTCTGCTCGTGCATAGCACAACTGTTATGAGATCTCAGGCTTCTATGCTCAATATTACGTGGAAATTAAATATTTAATTAATATATAATATTTATATTTAAAATTAATTGATAATAAATAAGTAATCGTCATTTACATTTAATTTATATATTTTTTTTATTTTTTTTCAACGTAAAATTTTCCCGTTTAATATATCATTATAATTTAAAAATATACAATCCCATGTGCATGACAGTTACATTATTTCTTGTTGGAATCATATTATATCAAATATTTCTTTGATTCAGTAAAAACAGGTCACCGGCACACATGTTCTTCTTTTACCACCCAACGTTGTACACTTATACTGTTGTATGGGAGAAATATATCCCACCGTCACCTTCCCATGCCCCGCGGAGTTTAAATCAAGCTCACGGACGTTTAAAACAGAGTAAGAGATAAATGGTAAGTATTGCAGGCAGGGGAGACACAAATGTAACATTTTGGTGATGAAGGTGGAAGGACAAAAGTTTAACTTTGATTCTCCATTACACGTGTGGGAAACACTTCTCTCTCTCTCTCTCTTTCTGCGAGGCGTTTTTTGATGGGTTGTTAACAAAAGGACGAAATAATTGAACTAACATGTCATAAATGCCAAACTGTTTGTTTCACATTTTAAAAAAGGCAGCAACAATCTTTTTATTCATTCTTTGATCAATCCCTCAATCTGTTTTGCTACCTCACAGGAGACATACTTTTTTGTTTTTATTTACTTG